AATCTGCAAACTACTCATACACAGACTTTTTTGTCAATAATTTAATATGCAAAGTATTTGTTGCTTTCTCAAAGGCTAAATTCTGCTTCATTTTCTTCCTTCTGCATGACGATGTATTTCTCAAGCCAATTAATAGTCAAGAGTTAAGCACAGGACTTTCTTGGGCTAAGAGTTTAGCACAGGACTCCTAATCATGTGGAGGGTGAACCAGTTTAATGGCAGGGAACACCTCTAACTTTTGGTCCTATGCAGCTTATGAAAACACTCAAAAGGCTGAACATTCTATTGATTACATGAAAATAATTAGAACACTTTTTTACTGAGATAATTTGTTTTAAGGAACCTATTGCTAGAATACAAACCAGAAGTGGGTTTTTCCTGCTGCTAAGGGTCAGAGGCAAACTCAAGTCCTCCAGCCTTTGGCGTGACTCATTTATAAGGGTAAATCATAAAAAGAACATCCTGGGATATTTATAATTAGGTGTGTTTTTATTATAACTCTATTCATGTATGAGATACATGTAGATTTGCATATAATTTATCACCTTCTTGCATACCATCTCATGTACGTCAGCATGCTTAATTACTGTTTTCTTTCCCTATCAGAAAGAGAGTTCTCTTCATGAAAGGCAATAGAGTTTTGAGTTTTTAAAGATAACATTAATTATATTATCAAAGTTGTTTAATTTCCATAACATCTCAACGTTAATGTATCCATTTCAAATACAATCAAATATAGTTCTCGTGTTCTATAAATAATGAGCACTAAAGGTTGAAAGTACAGTTGTAAAAAATCCACATATATCTTATCTATTTTATTTGTGTTCCTTTTAATTATCACATTCTAATTTCTGGACTGAGAACTAAGAAATCTGAGCTTACAGGAATAATTTAAAGCCAAAAGATACTCAAAACTTTGCAACAGATTTGTATTATATTTTGAAGTCTTTTATGCTTTTTGTTTTTTCAGTGAGGTTATAGGTGACTGACTCCCAGGGAATATACTAGTTTACTGATAAATTTTAAGTAAGTAGAGCACTGCCTGAGACACAATTGCTTAATAACTATTTGTTGAGTGATTTAAAATGTTTTGACTACGCAAAATTCGAGTATTTTCTGTCAATCATATTTGAACAGTTCTTTAGGAGACCTGTATGGTCATATCTTCTAAATTCTTAGGGTTCATTTATTTAATCTTTCTATTCAGTCTCGTATGGCTTTTCTAAGTCAAACCACTCAAAACATATATAGAGAGCAGCTCAATTTTACATCACTTTTCCTTGTATTGTGTACTTTTCCTTATATATTGAATAATGAACAATGACAAAATTGAAGTAATATTTCTGGGCTCTTATTTTAGAATATGCACATTTAAAATTTGTCATTATAATATCAAGTAGTAGAAAAGGAAAACACTGCACATATTATATATATGTGTGTGTGTGTATACATATACATACATACACATATAATTAGCATTAATAGACTTGAAGAAAAATCATAAATGTGAAAAACCTTGAACAGCAAACAACTTCCTTTTATGTAATTAGTTCTTTCTAAATCATCTTTTTCTTACATTTCTTTAATTTTCTTTTTTTGATCAGTCACTGGCAACCCAAAGACACTCGCATGAGAGGGGAGACAGAACATGAGACCGAAGGGCATGTGTATGGAGAGGGAACGGGGACCTTGACCTGCCAGGTGTCATTAGCATCCCTCATCATCTCTTCCTTGTCAACATGCAAATCTTGTGATTTCATGATACTTATGATTATTCTTATTTACCAAAGTTCTGTACTTTGTGACATTTTAGAAATGCATTACTCTCTTCTGACTATTAAAACACTACTTCCTTCTGTAATCTCCACCATCCTGATGAAATAATAGGAAATTATGAAGTTAATTACATATATGATTATTTTACAGTAAAATTATTATCTTTAAAATTAGCCCATTTAAAAATTTATCAGTCATGTGAACTCAGTAAGCCTTCTTTAAATGCTTACATGCCTGAATTGGTATGTGTAAAGAAATTTCTAAAACTCAGTCTCTGCTTTTAAGGAACTTACAGTTTAGTATAAATGCCTGACATGACTAACTTTCCCAAGGACAATATTAATTTTAATGATAATTCATATAGTTTATTGCATTGATTTTCACAGTGTGTTTGCAATATCTAAGAGGCTGCCATGGGTAGTGAGGCCTAGATTTTATTTTATACCACACCTCATCTTACATGTTTCAAATTAGTAATTCTGAATTACCCAAACATCCAAGAGTAGATTGGCTGGTGCCTCCACACCTTTGTATACGCTGTAATCTCTCTATACAGGCCCTATTTTTCTTGCATAACTCATTCTTTAAAAGTCAATTCTGCAGTGTACACTTGGTTATCCCCCTTAATTTCTGCATTTTTTAAAGCTAATCGTCATTTTGTGTCACGCAGCACTCTTGTCAATCTCTGAGCTCCCAAATATCAAGGTTAGGAATTACTTCCAAGTTGTGACCACATTGAAGGAGCTCAATAGACAAATCAATTGAAATTACTGAAAACCAAATAATCTTTGCCTTTTTAAATAAAAGGGAGTGAAATAAACCTTTCTGGTATCTCGGGTTTACTTTTGTGGCTCGTAAATGACAGTACAATACTGCAATTTAGGATTTGTCTCCGCCTTTATTCTAGGTTATCTCTGCTTTTAATTCTTTTTGACATCTCTTCTTGCATATCATCCATGTCACTGAAAAATCAGAAATGTAAGTGAAAGATCTTCAACAACAAACAACTTCCTTTTCTTTATGTAATTCTTTTTTTTTTTTTCTGGCATCAATGCACCTACTTGCACAATTCCCTTGTTTTCTATGCCTTCCTTCAAATGATCACATTGTAATATCTGGGCTAGGAGTATAGAGATCTGAGTTTATAATAATAATGTAAGCAAAAGGTCTGTGAAAGTCCCACAAATGGGTTAAGCCTAGCTCACAAAGCTTACAGTAATTCTGTATTATTGCTTCCATTCCTTGTTCACTTGTTTTTGTTTGCAACGAGGCAGTTGAGAGGACTGGTACTCTATCAATTTAGTGAGACATTTTTTCTGAATTTAACGCTAGTCATTTCACCTTTGATACTCACTTACATAAAATAAGAAATTGCCAGAGATATAGCAGCAGCTCAGTGCCTGTCTGGCAAATACAAGATCCTGAGTTTGATTCCCAGTATCAAAAAATATACGCATAAAACAAGAAATCTATTCAATGTTTAACATATGTTCTTTGAAATTGATACATTAACATTTAGATATCTAAAAATTAAAATACTGACCCAGGTAATCGTTTTCTTGTAGAATACTCACATAGTTTTAAATATTTTAACTCTGGATTATCAAGATTTTAGAACCTTTATTCTTTTTGAAACATTAGGTAGTGCTAATGGTCAACTTTGATGGAACAGTTCATATGCACAATGCAAGAGATAAACACATGGATCAGCTCAATCTTCACAATCTTAAAAGCAAATATTCTCTATGTTATAGCGGAGAAACTAGATTTAGAAATTAAAATATGAGTTAAATATAGAAGATAGAAGCTACATATTAATCAGACATGGAAAGTTCATTTTCCAAATATTTTCAACTCTCTAGTCAAGTCTTGCCTACTTACTATTCAATTACCCTTTTGTAACATCTTTTTTGATATACAATTCATATATGATAAAAATCACCTTCTGGTATTCACTCATTTACAGTATGTCCTTCTAACCACTGCCTGCGACAATGGGGCACTCCCCTAAGGCAATTACTAATCTGCTTTGTGTCCCTGTAGTGTTACCTTTTCTGGACACTTCATACAAATGGAATTTACCATTTGTGGTCTTTTGCATTTACCTGTTTTCATATGACTAATTTGTTTTGAGGTTCATTGTGTCGTGCCATCTATCAGTATTTACCAAAACATTTATTTACACCTCTGAGATGTAGTCAGAGGAAAAAACACTAAACTAAAAGTTTTGAAATCCATTCATTGAAGAAGATTTGACAAAATTTCCTTTGGCAGTCAATCTTTTTTTGTCTTCTTCAGATGTCTGGCCTAACAGTGAACCCTGAAGCAGTAGAAACATTTGGTCACCACAATTATAAACTCTACACCTGAGCTAGGAAATACTATTTTTTTTTTTTTACCGGTACCAGGGATCAAACTCATGACCACGCGCTTGCAAGGCAGGCGCTTATGCTGCTGAGCTAAATCCCCAGCCCAGTATTCACTAATACATTTAAACTTTCACATTTTTTTTATCAACTTACTCTAAAATTTGGGATATTTAAAATTTATTGATATGTTGCTTCTCTTTGGGGTAGTTATTCTTCTTTGTCATGCCAAGTGATAGAAATTAACTTTAAAACTTTAAAATAATCGGAACATTCTAGGTTGTCTTAAGGAAGTTATTTTCGTTTATGCTAATTCATACGTCTGTCTAGAAATGGACGCTTCCTAAAATTCTACGTTTCATAACAATCTAAAGTTATTTTATTTTCCCTTTATACATATGGACATTTAGGGAGGATCTGAGAAAACTGTAATTGATATGATTGAAAGCTGAACAAAAAAAATCCTATTTCCTTTGTCAGCTCTCTCAGGTATATAGTCTTTGTTTTGATATTTTAAAAAGCTGAAGATCAAAAAAATATATAGTAACTCAAACAATGTACTTACCTACTAGTGAAAACTAAACCATTTTGAGAAGGTGAAATGACATACAAAAATATTATATATAGTTTTACAAGTGGTCCTTACAAATTCCAAACCTGAAGGTTGTTTCCTACAGATGGAAAAATTCACAACCAAAATAGTGGTCCTGCTTCGCCAGTCCCTAAATAACTGGGACGGAAATCCGTGGGTAGGGCTCGGTGATCTCCGGGGAAATCCCAGCCGGCGTCACATTGCCTTTTGTTTACCGCGGATTGACAGCCCGCGCGCGCCGGAGTCTCATCTGCGCCTGCGCACGGAGAAAAAAAAAAGAAAGCCCGGATGGAGGACGCGGTGACATGCCGTTGTCATGGTAGCGCTGGGGTCTCTTTTGCCTCCCGGTCAGAACTTAAAAAGAGGAGGGAGGAGAGCTCCTCCGACCATCTCTGTGACCCCAGCCGTCGCATCTCACACAGGCAGGAGCAGGGCTGGAGGGAGAGAAGGGAAGGATGTTGCGGCAATGTCTGTGGGGGGAGAGGGCCGAGGGACGCGTGTCTGGTGTGAGGATCAGATCCAGAATCCACGGAGCCCAGTTTTCTCCTTTGCCCGCTGGGCTTCGCTATGTATCAGGGAAACCCCTCCACGGACAGCGTAGATGCTCCGAAATTTTATCACATTCTTTTCCCTCTCAAAGTTCTCGAACGTGAAAGGTAATAATTTCATCTGTGGGAGGGGGAAAAAAGTCACTCCTGAAACATTAGCTTCCACCAGGAGGCTATGGTATTCATTTATTAACAGTACCTTGGGACCTTAATACCAATTCACATCACCCAGTGCTTGTAAAATGTAGTTTATCGTGATAATTCCTGATATTTAAAAATACACTCATGGGATCACCGTCTTGGCAGGTTGCATCAGGATGACTGGAGATGATGATTTCATAATATTAGTGATTTTTCCTTAAGTAATGTGCTTACTTGGTTTTTGCTTAAGCACTTAATTTATAAAACATTTCGCTTCAATCTTCTTTGAGTTCTTGGTTTTTAAACATACATTTGGAAGGATATGAGGTAAGACAGGGATCAATAAATTAGATGAAAATATATTTGAATATTGTATTAGATGAAAGTTATCAAAATTAAGTATTCATGTGGGTTTGGCTGTGACTTGCACTAAAAGATCTGCAGTCGTCTACCCCCAAGGGTGTTGACATTTAAGTGGAAGGAATTAATTTCAATCTTTTACTACAGTTGCCTGTGAAGAGGGTGGATCTGGTCTAAGCCACTTACCTATATTTTTTTACTGATGGTAAATTTGGGATTTATGTGAACTCACAGTGGAAAGAAGTGTTAAGTAATCTGGTTTATTTAAGAAGCATTTTTGTTGTAGCATGTTGACTATGACATATGGACAGTCTCTTGGGGATGAAGATTAAAAGAATTGAAGGGGTTGAATATCCTGTGACGCATTTGAAAAGGCTTAAGGGACTTGGTAACAACAGTTTATGTTTTATGTTTTTTGTTTACTTGAGAACCAGTCATGAGGTTTTTTTTTTTTTTTTAACTTCCAGGAATATAATAACTCTTCATATTTGTTGCAGCTTAATTTATCCCTCATAGTTAACTTCAACAATGTTTTGTCTCTTAAATTATTATTATTATTATTTTTATTTTTATTTATTTATTTTTTAGCAGTACTGGGGATCAAACTCACGACCACCTGCTTGCAAGGCAGGCACTTATGCCGCTGAGCTAAATCCCCAGCCCCTGTCTCTTAAATTATAATGGTACCATTTAATAACACGTTTAATTTGTAATCATTATATTTTTTTCTTGCTGATTTTGTTTTAGTTTTATACATGAGTTTTCACCTGGGTGGGATTCTTTGTAAATAATGAAGCATGTTTACCAAGGTCTTCAGGAAACTATTTACTTACTAGCTTAGAACTATATTTATTAAAAATGTCAGGTAAAATAGTAAGGACTTTGTTTTAATGGTACTTTAACTGTTTAATATTTTTTTTTCTTTTTGTGTTACTGGGGATTCAATCCAAAGCCTTTGCACTGTGCTACATCTCCAGACCTTTTTATTTTCTATTTTGAGACAGAATCTGCTATCACCAAGTTGCCCACTGGATTCTAACATACCATCCTACTCCCTCAGTCTTATGTCTCTTAAAATAATCTCAAGATCTTTGGTCTGAAAAAAAGTTTTTATCCTAAGTGAGTGTGAAAATTTGTATTATATACGTAAGTACTTTAGGTTACAATGAGTTTTAGTTGTTATACATCTTTCACAGTGTCTTTAACTGGTAGGTTGGTAGGCATATAGCCGTGGTGATTTAGCCTGCCTTACAGCAGGCACTGGTAAGTAAACTTACTCTGAAATACTGATTTGACTTCTCTAGTTTACCTCAAAGTACTGTTGCCCTTTCTGGAGGAGATGTTGGACATTTGTAATGTCAGCAGCTTGGGAGTCTGAGGCTAAAGGATCACAAGTGGAAGGCTGGACCCTGACTCAGAAAACCAAACCAAAACACAAAACAAATCAAAACAACAACAAAAGGGTATAGTTAGTGATAGAGCACTTGCCTACCATGCACAACACCCTGGGTTCAATCACCAGTAGTACAAAAAATTTTACAAATTAAAGGACAATTGCCCTGCCCCTCTAATTTAGAAACTATATGGACATTACTTTTCAGTCTTTTAAGAAAGTCCATTTTGTATTTTTAGTTAAAAAATTAGAGGAATTAAAGTCCAAATAATGTTTTAGAAATAATGATCCAGGTAAAGAATCAAGTTAAATAATTTTTTATTTTGAATTAATCACTTTTTATTCATTTTTTAGTCACTCATGTATTTTTATTTCAGTTATTTACATTTTTTACTTAGCTTTGTCTTTTCTGGAGACTGCAATCCCCTTTACAAAAGCATTGGTCCATTTTATAAATTGTTACAAGAATATATGTGGGCATATAATGTGTTCTCAAATGTTTATCAGAATTACATAAAAATACACAGGTAACTATCACTAGTAGAGACACACTGCAGTTAAAGATTTTTATGCTACATTTGTTTGAAAGGTTGGAGGGCTGAGAACTGACCTCAAAGATAGTATTACACCAGTTCTTTTAAAAATGACTGAATTTATGTACTATTTTAACAAACATTTATATCTTTTATCTTACATTCCTGTTTATCACTGTCTACTTGATAGTGTTGGGTATCAAAGGTTCTTTTCTTTAAGAAAAAGTGTATTTGGGATTAACTGACAATTCACTGTAGCTAAGAAATCAGTCATTACGTATTTATTAAAAGTTATGAGATCACACGTTTTTACACTATGCAAATTATGAGGACTGTGAAACTGATAATAGGAAATCACTAATTTTTATTTGAACATTGCAACTTAAGTAAACTTTAAAAAACAGTCATTTGCTGTGATGGGGTCAAAATTTTAATAGTTGGCAAAGGATGTGAGAAATCCTTTAGTAAGCCTCATTCTTCTTATTTCCCCCTTCAAGTTCCTTGTAGATGAGCGATTTGGGACTTGGGGAAGAGATAGAGGGTTGTTAGAAATGTCCACTCGTGGAGGCATCTTGCCATTATAAACCTATTTTAGAATATATATAATATATATGTGTGTGCTTATTTTGAAAGTTACCTATTGTTTCTATGTGTTAATTACTTTCAACATTGATCTCCATACTCCATTCTATCTTTGGCAAGGATTTAATGTGTGCCTTATCTTTTAAAATCTTACAGCAATTATTTTTTAACAAACTGAAAATGAATGAAAATAAAGATACTGACTCAAAAGAAAGTGGAGAATATGAAGATGACTTTGAAAAGGACCTCGAGTGGTTAATTAATGAAAAAGAAATGGATGCCAGCATAATGGAGGTATATATGAATTACTGTGGCATTTATAATAGTTACATTAGGAAAGTGCTTTGTATTATTGAAAGTTTTCACATGTGTTATCTAATCCTCAAAATTTTTTTTGGTGTACACTGGACAAATACCATATCCCCATTTTAAAGCTAAAAGAATTGAGGCATTGAGAGATTATATGTGTTCTAGGCCATGGGGCTAGTACAAGATGAAGGATTAAATTAGCATTTGGAGCTAAAATGATAATTGTAAACTAAATAATATAAAGAAATAATAAGATCATGATTTACTGATCAAAAATAAATTATAGTGAATTCCTACTGTCTTTAAACTTGAGTAAAATCATGGGGTAATATTTTAATATAAATGGAAAATAAAGCAAATGCTTGAAAAACAATCTTTTAACAGATAGTTGAAACTAAGATTGAGTAAGTTCTTCAGAGGAATGAATACAGAGGAAAAGTAAAAGGTCAAAGGCTAAGCCATAAGATTCTTTTAGGAAAAAGTGACCCATTTAACATGATCATTTACTGTTTATTGGCGAGATATAAGGACAATCCAGGAAAATGAACCAATTCCTGGATAATGATTATATTAGTGTCAGTAAGTGGAGAAATAATGAAAAAAGCTAAGGCTGGACTATACATATGGCAGCCCTAGAAGGACAGTGATCAGCAGTTGTAGCAGAGGGCAGATTTTCTAATTTCTCCTATTTCCATTTTGCCTTCTTGTATGCAGTGCAGAAGACAGGGGGCTAGCTAATCTTTGAAAGAGGCAACAGACTCAAAAGTGAAAAAATTTCAAATGGCTTTTAAAAGGAAGTTTTATGCATTTCAACAGAAAACAAATCAGAGTGAGTAGAGGCAGAGATACCCAGTGGGAAAGGCTGAGCCCCTGTCTTGGGAGTGGTGTGAGATCCCCAGCAGGAAGATAGAATTAGAGAGGCCACCTGGTGTGCGTGAGCCAGTGACCATGAGCCGCAAAACTGATTTACCCACAGACAAAGAATATAGGAAAGATAAGAGTTCACTTAGATCACTGGGTATACTGTCAAGGGGGCAGTGAGTGAGTTTCCAAGACAGTATCAGCACAGGCAGAGTGAGAGATTAGGGTTTTTATTAGGGAATAAACACATAGGAAAGGGTCTGAGTTGGCAAATGTAGCTATTTTAGAAATGCGTTTTCCAGAACTTACTGTTCCTTGTTAATTTTTCAGGACCACCTGTATCCTAACTAGTGTTGCAAATTATTAAGGTCTTGCTCAGGCTTCACAAAAGGCCCTCAGACCTTAGATAAGGACACCTGTGTGTGTGTGAAACATATAAAACATTAGCTCAAGAGAGGAAAGGATGTTTCTGTAGTTCCTTTTATCTTGGGCTGTTTTTAGTCCTCCCTGCTTAGTGCAGTGCCTCATGATTGTCTAGTTCGTCCTGGGCAGAAATGTGCTGTCAAAGAAATTCAGATGCTGACAGTTTTAACTCTCTGCCACCATAATAACAGTGATTCTTAGTTTGACTTAATGACTATAATGGGCCCCTACTATATGTAAGAGGCTATTCTAGGTGCTGAGTATGGGTAAGGGATCACAAAAACAAAGTACTTTCTTGAATCTTGTCCATTCCAATGTATGATTATAATAACCACTTCCTTTGAAGGTGGAGAGAAAATAAATATGACAGAGTTTGAAACAGGTAAAAGGACCAGGAAAAGATTTCTTTGTAAAAGATGAGTTTTGAAAACAAAAAAAACCAGAAATCCCAAAGAGACTCCATGGATAGATACTGTAGAAATGAACCAGAGAACCAAGGCTTAAAAAAAACAATACACAGATCGTATTTAAGTTGTAGTTATTTGGCAGTCATTTTAATGGGCCACGTTTATTTACTGATTAGATATCTAGCATGTTTTGCAGGTTAGGAAGTAAAAGCTGTCAGAAAAGATGACCTGAGAGCAAATAAAGGAGAAAAGCAATTTTAAGGAGTTAAAATGAGCAGCAACTGGTAGCTCCTGTCAAACTGCATGAGGAAGGACAGAATTGAAAGAGAAAGAAATTACATATTGCAGAGGTAAAGTGCAATGTAAATGAAGTTGTGTGTGTATGGGAGAGATCTCAGGAAAGGACCGTTCAGTTAGAATCAGCAGATGTGGAGCAGAGCTTTGTGATTCATAGGTTTGTGGAACTAGAATTTTTTAGTCTAAGGCTAAGTTATTTGATGGTCATTAGTATGGATTATTGAAGCCTGTGAGGGTAGCTGGGGAAGGAAGATCTGACTGAGACATAACAATTTAGCTGGAATTTGGATATAGGTCTTATGGATGTTAGTAACAATATTAGTCTGAAATAATTCTTTTAATCATTTTTAACCTCACATAATTGGTACTTGACCTTGTAATGGTCTGGGAAGATGTGTTTTAGAGAATGCAGACGTTACAAGGAGGAAACATTTTATAAAATTGCTCTGAAAATGTAAAAGGAGGAAAATTCCATAGAGTGATAGATATTAAAATAATATTGTTATTTGTAGTTACCTTTTGATGCATTAAAAGAAAATTGTACAAAACTTTTTTAAAAATCAGTGTAGCACATAGTAACATCAAATTCATAGGTCGAGTTACATTTTCTCTGATAGTTGTCACATGTGTTACCCTTGGAATGCTAATAAATATAAATCAGAATACTGTAAGTGTAGTTTGAGCAAGAAGCACTTAAACTATTTCTATCTATAAATTAAACTGCACGAATAGGGAAGTTCTACTCAGGATTAAATGAACAATCTCAATTTTGCTGAAAAATAGAACCTCCTTTTTTTTTAGATGTCTTATGAGAAGGAAGAGACATTCATTAATCAAGAATTAAAAGAAAATGAAACAGAAGTAGAACACACAGAACAACTTTCTGATCTTGACAAATCTTTGAAGGATGAGGTTCCACCAAGAAGAAATGACTTTATTTCTGTCCCAAGTATTCAGTCTTTGGATCGCATATCAGATTCAGATAGTGAGAACTCTTTTCAGGAATCCAAATTAGAAAGTCAGAAAGACCTAGAAGAGGAAGATGAGGAAGTAAGCAGGTATATTAAGGAGAAAATTATACAAGCTAACAAGCTTCTACAGACTCAAGAACCTGTGGATGATAAAAGGGAACGAAAACTTAAGTTCAAGGACAAATTGGTTGATCTGGAAGTTCCTCCATTAGAGGACAATGATGCCTACAAAAATTATTTTGGAAGTGAAAACAGTATGTCTGGAAAACTGTCACAGTTATGTATTTCCAATGAATTAGGACAAGAAAATGTATTCCTGTCACTTACTGATGGAAGTTTTGAAGAAAACAAGGATATGAAGATACTGGTAGAGAGGGACGGAAAGTTTGAACTCCTGAATTTACAAGACATTGAGAGCCAGGGATTTTTGCCCCCCATTGGTAATGCTATTGGTGCCGAAAATGAAGCTCAGCAGTTGTTACTCAGATCTCTCAGCTCATCTGTCAGCAGTGTCAAGAAAGACGAACCTACAGCGAAGATCCACATTACTCAGTCAGCAACAGGAGAGCCCTTGGCTTATGTCCCTCAGCCACCACCCAACCCCAAAACTCATCCACGCTCTGCTGCCACCTCAGATCGAAATAAAGGAAGTGGAAAATCTCGTCATCGGACGCAGTCTGCCAATATACCGCCAGTAACCTCCACATACTATCTTTCCCTTCAACAGAAGGAACTCCAGAAACAGCTGGAAAGGAAGAAAGAAAAGCTTAAGAGAGTGGTAAGGACACAAGGTGGCTCTGTAAGGAAAGTATGAGTGGGACTGGGGTCCTGGGGGCGTCCCTCCAGATCTCAGAAGGAAGCCCAGGAGGCCCGGCTGGGTCCCCCGAGGGCAGTGTGTGCAGCTGTGGGAGTCAAGCCAAAAGTAGGGCGTGGGACCCAGGAGGCTGGAGAAGCCAACTGAAGCTGAGCCAAAATAAGCCTGCTTTTCTATAGTGGGTGTCAGGTATGGTCTCTCTGGGGCAAGTAAGTGACTAAGACAATTTATATTTTATTAACCCTTCTTCCCCACTAAGCACATGAGAGGCCCTGCTGTGGGCTGGTGCTGGGGAGTGTACTCAGGGCCTTGTCACTGAGCTACACCCCTGAACGTTTTTGTTTTCTATTTTTTTTTTTTTATTTTAAAGGGAGTAAAACAGAACAGAAAAATACAACGGTAATAGGACAGCAGGAAATCTACAATTGTTACTCTATTTCATACTGTTATCCTCTAAATAGTTGCCCAGGTCTACAGTGCTAATAGTAGCATTGTCTTCTCCTCTTCCTCATGTTGCTATTTTCCAGGGTCTGGACACCAAACCTTGGAGAAGTTTTTTCTCTCTGCTCACACTCTGCCATTTTCCTGGACTTTATATGTTTATTTTGAAACAGTTTCTAAGTTACTGAGTTGCCCAGTCTGGATTACAACCTGCGGTCCTCCTGTCTCTACCTCCCAGAGTGCTGGAATCACAAGCCTAGACTGCCATGCATGGCTTAAAGTCCTGTTTCTAAAGAGAAACAATTTTCAAGTGGAAAGTTTCAGGGCCAAAAATCTTAATTTGGTATCTTATATCTTTACTCCGATAGCTCATACACAATATTATTTGATTTTTTATTAATGTCTTTTCATACTCTTCCCGCCAGGAAGAACAACGGAAAATAGAAGAAGAAAAACAGAAGAAAAAAGACAATGACATGGTCTTCAAAGCATGGCTGCAAAAAAAGAAAGAGAAGGTCATAGAAATGAAAAGAATCCAACGAGCTAAGCAAATTGAGGACATGAACAACAGAGTAAGTGTAACTTCTTTTTTTTTAATTTTTGTTTTTTTCAATTTTTTTTGAGACAGGGTCTCTATGCAGTTCAGGCAGGCCTTGAGCTCACTTTGTAGCCCAGGCTGGTCTCAAACTTGCAATGCTCCTCCTGCCTCAGCTTCCCAAGTGCTGAGATTACAGGCATAAGCCATCATGTTCTCTCTGGAGAAAAAGTCCATATAGACCTTAAACTAATCTTATTCACCTAAAGGAGGCTGGGTATGTAAGACTGAGAACCTATGGAAAAAGTAATAAAGGGGTTTAAGAACATCCCTGGAAGAAGTTAGTAATAACTTCTAAGAAGCCCTGTCAAAACCAAATGATCCCTATTGTATCCAGGTTTTCATAGCCCAGAAAATAGAAAACTGCAAATTCATTTTTTTTGAGGTACTATAACTTTGATGTTCGGATAGGACAAAGATACACACACACACCTGACTTTTCTCATTTTACAGTAAGCATACAGAAATCTTACATAAAAGCTAGCAGGTTAAAAATATTAAATTAATTTTGAAACATTTGAACAGGAAATCCAGGAGAAAATAAAATCCTATCAAAACTAGTTCACTATGTATATATACAGTAAAAATAGAAAATTTAGTCCTCAGCTCTACAGGCTCAGGTCCAGTGATAACCAGTTTTAATGATGTAGTGAAAATCCATTCATAATTTTATGCATTTATATGCCCAAAATTTCATTATGAAATTTTTTTCACTTCATCATGGGCATTTTTCTAGGTTATTACTTTTCCATCTCTTTTTTTTCCAAAAAGATACATAATACACCACTAATTAATTTACAAAGCAGTTCCCCACTTAAGTATATTTAGATAGGTTCTAATATTATTCTATTAATCATGCTGCAGTGAAGATGTGTATATTTTTGGGGATCATCAGTAATCTGCAGGACTTCCTTAAGAATAGAATTTGTGGGCTGGGGATTTAGCTCAGTGACATAAGCGCCTGCCTTGCAAGCAGGCAGTCATGAGTTTGATCCCTGGTACCAATAAAAACGAAAAAGACCAAAAAAAAAAAAGTAGGATTTGTGATTTTTGAATGTTTAGAGGGAAATTTTTAGTTAAATAAGCAAAATTTATTGTGCCAATTATTGTCCATCCAAAAACATATCAGTACATTTACTATACCATAGTTTAACACTGATTTGTTTTATTTTTCCTTCAAATTAATAATATACGTGTTTATATATGACTGTAGATTCTGCATACGTTTGTAAAATAATAAGAAATACACACTTACTGGTCTCTGCCCCTGGTTTTAGATAATTCCTAAGCCCATGTAATTTTTTAACCATAGAAATGGTAGGTGTGTCTGTGGAATATTTCGTCCTGACACAAAGCTCTGAATCTCTTAGAATTTCCCAAGTGATGAGAGGGTCTCTTTTGATCAAATGAGATGCCTCTTCTGGGCTTCTGAATGGGGCAGTAGCAGGTCTAAGCCATGATTTCAATCCTGGAACTTTCAGCACCAGCCCCCATCGCCTGTTGAGGGGAAAGAAGCTAGATGCAGGGGTGGTGAAACTATCCCGCACATGCCACAGCGGGCTGTTTGTTATTGAAAGCTCTGAAAGGTTCACCATCATGGGGCTAGAGATGGTGTTAATAATTGACCATGACTATACTATGAAGCCTTCCCTGGAATCCCTGAGCTGTAGGTTTGGGAGAGCTTCTGGGCTGCTAAACATAGGGAGGTGCTTCCAGAGTGGTTTGATCTACGGAGGACAAAGAAGCCTCAAGCTTCTTCCACTGTACATCTATCTACACATTTGACTGTTCATCAGTAGCCTTTGTTATATGCTTTAGTAGTATAATAACGTTTTTTCTGAGTTCTAAAAGTGGCCATGGTAGTATATACCTGTAGTCTCAGCACTTGGAAGGCTGAGGCAAGGGAGTCATAGGTTGAAGACCGGCCTGGGCTTCACAAGTTCAAGGCTGATCTGGACTATATAGTGAGATCACGTCTTAAAAAAAAAAAGCTGATTAGATTTTTTTAAACTGTTATAATTGTGTTTTTTTAGTAATTATATTATATTATTAGAAAAAAATTTTCAGTTTTGCAGTTTTAAAAAATGGACAAAGTATGAATTATAAGTTCACATATAAAAGGGTATAGTATATGAAAAATGTAAAATTTCTAGAACCAAAGGGATACCAATTATAAAATTTTCATGGATCCAATAAATATTTTTATTATATGATAGGTACTTTCTCATGCAAAGAAATATAATCCCAGTCAAAATGTGGCTGATCTGTCTTGTAAATTGTGTTCCATGAAGCTTCATTGTGAACTGCTCCAGAGACCTCTGCTCCATTCATACAACTATCCCCAGTGTTTCTTCGGTTCCTTGTTTTATGTATTTGTACCTTTGTGTGGGAAAGCTGTGGCTGGAGCAGTGATTGAAATGAATGTTAAGAGATAAGGGACCTTAGAGCAACAGCACAAGGCTCCTGGAATGCCTGGGTAAAGATTACAGCACAATCTGCCAGGCAGCAGCACAGCAGAAGCAACAACAATTTATTCTTAGACTTGTTTGCTCCTGCCATTGTGTCCCTCTTGCCTGGATAAAGCTTTGTTCTATTAAGTTGATATACATCACACAGTAGACCTTCCTGTTCCTTCCATGTCTCCTGACGAAAACTCCTACACAAATGTTTTTCTTTTGCATCTTTGTTCTCACGTCCTTGGGTTATAAATAAAAGCCATGAACCTCTCAGCTCAATTCTGTTTTCCCGAGACTTTCGCACACTGATGGGTCTGGAAGAAGCAGTCTCTCTGGGCCTCCTGGAGCTTAAACTGAACTTCAAGTAATCTTTCATCCTCTGCATTGCCACGGTTGTACACTGTGACAACTGTGAAAATTGTCTTGTCAGAGGGTTCAACTTTGAAAATCACAGCTTTTAAACTATCTTTATTTACAGATTATTCAGTGAAATTTTTTCCCAGACTTGGGCTTCACAAACAATAGATAATTTATCACTCTGCCAAAATCCTTTCAATAAGATTTTCAAAAGAAGCCAGATAACAGTAAGCTCAATGCTGAATTTCCTGACAGAAGGATAATCAGTGCCTCTGATTCAGGGCAGTACATCCGATTAGATACTAAGAACACAGCTCATGAGGTTGACGTTTTTATGAAAACAGATGGGTAGGACTTGTATTCTTGTAAAGTTCCACAGTCAGTCTAAATTAAGTAAATCTTGCTTTTCTAATCAGCAGGAAGACAGAGATCCACAAGAAGCTTTTCGATTATGGCTTAAGAAAAAGCACGAGGAGCAGATGAAAGAAAGAAAGACAGAAGAACTAAGAAAGCAAGAGGAATGTTTATTTTTTCTCAAAGGAACAGAAGGCCGGGAGAAGGCTTTTAAACAGTAAGTTAAAGACAGGACTTGATTTTTTTAAAAGGATAACCTGATCTCTTTTCAGCTGTCTAGGTGGCACACTGCATTGCTCCATTAGTTCTGAGAGCACAGACCTAGCTCCATAATTTTGCTAATAAGCCTTAAGGAGAGGTAGAATGAGTGTTGAGTCTACTTATTGAACTAACTTCTCTCACTCCTTCTTCCCTCCCTACCTCCTCTCTCTCTCTCTCTCTCTTTCCTCGTTTCTTGCACCTTTTATTGTAACAGAAATGGTAAATGTACATTGAGGAAGTGGGCACTGTCATGACTGTGAGCTATAGAAAGGATGTCTTCTAGGTATTCCAACATCTATATTTACAACTTTAAAATATGAATTAACATCGTGCTAGATACACTTCCTGGAGTGTGTCTGTTTTATGGTGATCTTGTCTAATATCCAGCTCATATCCATCTTTTTTTACCCAGTTGACCTGTAAATGACTTAGAGGTAATTTGTTTAAAATGGGATCCAGCTAAGGACCATAGAAACTTATGATTTTATATCTTTTTTATTTTAATAGTTATTTAGTTTTACTTCAAAAAATCCTCTACATATATTTACACACACACACACACACACACACACACACACACACACACACGCAAACACTTATGTACCAGGTATATGTCTGTATAGTTATTTTCTATTTTAAACTTATTTGCTTTTTTTGAATATGGACTCTTCCTTTATGGGTTTGATGCTTTCATGCGTATGCTTATTTTTTCATTTTGAAAAAGAACTAGTTTATGCATTGAAAAAGCAAAAGTATATGATTTCCCTGCTAAGAAGAATAAGGCAAGATTTCTGCATCATGTTAGTATTTTTAATATGTTCAAGTTAATCTGTTTTAGAATATAGTTAATCAAAAGTTAAGTTTTGTGAAATACATCAAATAGTTATTCTCTTGCAAAACCATATTTCTAATATAAGGATAGGACTTTAAGCATCATAAGAGAAATTTAATTTTATACAGTTCTGAAATGTAATTATATTTTGTTGAATGAGTTTGCACTATAAGCATGGAGATTCTCACTTGGTGCTTTAATAATTTGTATTGTGACACTAATGCAAAGTAAAAAAAAGTCAATTTCCTAACTTCTAACCATGAAAAGTATATTTTGTGATTCACCAAATCTAAAATGCTGCTTTCTACAGATGGCTAAAAAGGAAACGAATTGAAAAAATAGCAGAACAACAAGCTGTGGAAGAGAGGGCCAGACAGCTCCGATTAGAAGCAAGACGTGCTAAATACTTGCAGAACCACCTTTGGACTATGGCAGAAGCCAGATCTTTTCGTTTCACTGATCATTATAACTGAAAGTATCTATTAAACATCTGACAGATACTGTCATCAAAATTCTGGATAGCATTTTTTATGGCTCTTGTGTCTTGGTACTATTCTAAATTATGAAAATAGTATTTATCTTCTGGTGATACCGATATTTTTAATACTGCAACACAATAAACTCTCACACTTTTGGAACGTGCTGTGCATCTCTTATTTTGTGCAAAAAATTAAACAAGAATTAAATGCTTACAGTTCTTCTACTTATAGAGTATTTTAATGTATCTACCCAAAATGGACACAAGAAAAGAATGGAGTTCTAGACATTATCCCTACTATCATTTTTAAAAAGTGTCAATGGAACATTTCATAAAACAAGATTAACTGCTTTTTACCCCTGTACTGGGAACATCTCGATCCTGTTTTTTATTTTTTTACTTCAAGGTAGGATCTCACTAAATCACTAAATTTCCCAAGTTGGGCTTGAACTTTCCACTCTCCTGCCTCAGCTTCCCAGAGTTCTTAGATCACAGGTGTGTACCATCCACTGGCCAAAGAATGACTTCGTGAGCTCTTTTCAGTGCCTTATCCAAAGTCTTACTTATATCAGATTTAGATTTAAATTTTTGTACACTACATAAGAGGTTGTGTAATTTCACCTGTTAGTACAGTTACATAATATAATTTTCTGTTGCTGAATTAGCCAGTTTTATTGAGAATTTACAATTTACATTATAAATGTTTTACACAAATACTGCAATCCTATTATTCCACTACTTTCCAGGCCTGGAAACTGAAATACATCGATGGGAGCAGTTCATTTCACAGACTCTCACTTGTGTGGTTACAAATTAGAAAATACAGAGAACTTAGTCAAAAATTCATTCCCATCTCAACTTTTTATAGCAATTTCAGCATATACCATGCATTAAATATTTCCTTGTAACTGGTCTTACATTGTTTACAGTTTTCCTTAAGAGCCGATATGACATTAAAAACATGTTCCACAACACTCAGTATAGAAGCCAGCATTCCCTTGGTTACTTTTCCAGAAAGCTTGTGGGCAGCAGAACTGAACAGTAGAGTAGTTGACTGATAAGAATATAAATGAAACAGTTTTAAGTCCTCACCTATCTGCATATGAAGTAAATTTAATTTTCTAAGGAAGTAAAACACTGTTTCAAAAAGAGATGGGAAAAGTCCAGTCTCAGGCAATATTTTGGGGCTGAGTGAAGTGGGATGTTGGAATGCACAATGAAGTAATGCTTGTGATACCAATACTAGTGTATGTTTGATAGAATACAAATATATAAAAAAAAAAAACCAAAAAAATGACTGACAGGAATTTTGCCTCAGTAGACCAGACTTTTTTCCTCTTTTCTTTTATTGGAGTAAAATTTACAGAATTTAAATCTAATCATTTTAAAGCTATTACCCAGGAGCATTCAGGATGTTATACACCTACAACTTCTGATTCTACAACATATTCTCACCCACGAGGACCCCTCCAGAACTGCTAAGCAGTCACTTCCTGATCCTTCCTCTCAATTATTAGCAAACAGTGTGCTTTCCTTATGGCTCTGCATATTCTAGATACTTTATTAAGTAAATGGACTTATTCAATACGTGATCTTTAATGTCTAGTTTTCTTCATAACATATTTTGGAAATTTATCCACATAGTAGCATGTGTCTATACTTAATTCCTTTGTTTGGAATAAACTAATATTTGTATATGTAACACACATATACCATATTTTGTTTGTCTGTTTGTCAATTGATAGACATTTGGGCTGATTTCAACTTTTGGCTACAGCAAATTGTGTTGCCATGAACATTGGTTTACAAGTATTTGTTTCAGGACCTGTTTTAATTCTCTTGCATATACAACTACTGAGACCAAAAAAGGAACAAAGTGCAAAGGCCTGAGCTAAACTAAATAAATTAAGAGCAACAGGAGAGGGGCTGGGGATTTAGTCCAGCGGCATAAGCGCCTGCCTAGCAAGCACACGGTCATGAGTTCAATCCCTGTTACCAATTAAAAAAAAAAAAACAGGAAATAGAGACTAAGAGAAGGCAGAGGTACAAAAGATGGGTGGTTAAAATCTGCTGGCAGCGGGACACCTGTGAAAGTAGCCATGGCATGCACTCTGCTCCTTTCCTCCACAGAGCTGTATAGAAACTGCTGGATTCTGGTGTCTCCATGGTGTCCTCTTGCCCCACTCATTTAGGAAGGCCTTGTCTGGTCTTTCTAATAAACCACACATACACCCCCAGCTATTACCAAATCTGTCCTCTTGCTTCAATCATCGTCTCAGAATGTGAACCTAGAGGAGGAGGTGGCTGGTTACATCTCAGGCGGCGACCAATATGAGGCTCCACCTTCTCTCCACAGAGGGTACCTGTGATAGACTGGCCAGACCACATGCTCACACTCTGTCTCTACAGAAATCTAAGAAACGGGTATGCTGCTGGTCAGTTAAAACGGCTCATATATAGGCTGGCACTCCCAAAGCCAAGGACAGTTTCCCTGGTCATCGCCTCACTGAAACCACCAGGAAGGCTGGCCAGACAGGGAGCTGGATTGCTTTCTGGAGACAGATCTCTGGTTGTGTGAACTGGTGAAAACTGGGATGGCACATGTAACCCTGGCTGGTACTCAAAGGCCTTCAGTGGAAGCAGAGTCCCAACCGCTTGACTGAGTAACCAGCAAAGAAATCTCTACTTTCCTGTCATCCCCGCCTGCACTCTCCTCCCTGAGGTGAGAGGTGAACTCAGTGTTCTTCAGTTACTCCCTTCCCCAGGGTGACCTGAGATGAGCTCCATCAGAGTCTTCTCATAAGCCCCATTAAATGGTTGGGGCTTTTTTCTCTCCACTAATACGATACACTCTCTTCTTCAGATACGCCTTGATAAATTTACCGGACCAGAAACAGGTTACGATCCTAGCTCACATTTCAGGCTCCCCAGTTCCCTGTATTCCTGGTGTCTGGGCCCCTGCCTGATTTTCTCAGAAGACAGGAAATTAGCTTTGGAACTTCCATGACCACTACCTTCCAGCTCAAAGGAAAAGTAAAATCTGTATTACTTCTTTGAACAAAAGCTCTTTGGTATCACTGTCCTCTCTCTGGGGGGTTGAACTAAGGCATATCTTTGTGAGGGCTTTCTGCCACTCCTGGTGGCCCTCCACATTTATTCAGTTCAAATCCACCTGTCTATCAGGCCCTTAGCCACACCTTCCCAGTAAACGTGTTGTCCCTGTGATTAACATCAAACTGCCTTCAGACTGGGGATCCACTCGCTTGCTGTTGTGGGCAAAAAAAGATGGATATATATATATAGTGGTTCCCTTATAACCTCTCCCAGGAGAAGAAAAAGCCACTAAAACTCAGAATCCCTGAGCTATCTGCTTCCACTTGCAGAAGTTTACCATACTACATTGAAAACAGGAACAGCTAGCAAAAGCAGTTTACCCTAGTAACTTTAATGCAGGGAAACAGCTATCAGAGAAATGATTTACTATAGCAACTCTGGCCCAAAATTAAGATAAACACCAGCCTAGTCATTCTTTAAACATTCCTTGCTCTATAGTGTCAAGGAGTTTTTCTCACTCTCTTTCTAACTATTACTGGTGTTAGCTTATTATAAGAGAACTGTACTAATTGATTTTCCCTAAAAAGTTCTGACTAGTCTTTTTATAGTTATAACCTATGACAAATTATTACAGTTTGATCTGGCCTATACATCTAAGAATGTACGTTGATGTAAAAGTAATATGTTCTGTGTTTCTTGTTTGTTTGCTAAAATTAATTTAGGTACCCAAAACTGCTTTGTTAAAGCTTTTTAAGGTCACATCAATTGTATTTTTCTTTTATTTTTTTCTGGCTGTTTGGGGCTTTCCATAAAAAAAACTGACTAGGTTTTTGAAATTGCCAAATTCACTTAAGACATTGCAGACTAGGGGCTAAGGGGCTGAATATTTACATGATACTTACAAATAAAATCCCTAAAGTTTTGTAACATAAAGGTTATGTATGATCTAGATTAATGTGAATTTTCAAATATATATTCTGCCTAGGTTGGTTTATAAAGAAGTAGACACTCAAATGCTTTTTAGTTCACATAGCTTACCAGTGGGCTAATTTAGACAAGTTGGTAAAAATAAGGATGTTTTTAAAGTTGGTTCCATCCAGGCTGTTAGCTACTTGTCATGGTTTATGTCTGTGGCCCCCAGGCCTCATGAGTTTGCATGGTGCACTTGTGATGGTTCATTGTCTAGTGCTTGGATTGATGGTGTCAGTGCTACACCCACAAAGGGGTGGAGCCAGGATGTGATGTAATGGCAGGAAGAAGGTGTGTCTTGCTCTTTGCTGGTTCCTGCTTCTTGTTTGCAGCTGCCATGAACTGCATTCCAGCCATGCCCACCTGCCTTGGAGCCAACTGAGTGTGGACTGAAACCTCCAAAAACTGTAAGAAATAAACCTTTCCTTTCCCAAATTGGGCTTGAGGTATTTTGTCTCAGCAACGAGTAAAAAGTAACTAAGACACTAATCAAAACAATATCAAAATTTGGTTATAAATACAAGACCTGTTGTTGTTTGTATACAATAACTTAACAGTTTTCCTTGGTCATGGATGTTGTACCCCAAAAAACAAGCTCTGTGATGTTGTCTTCTGTCAAGAAGGGGGCAAGACGTCTTTTAAAAAGAAGTGCTTTTATTTAAGCTGACACCAATGACACAGTGCAGATGGAGTTTGCAAAGCTGTGGAAGTGGGTTAGAATTTTGACAGATTTTTATAGTTCATTTACAATTAGCTCATGACCACTTGAGTACATAGCGATGAGAAACAGAAACAAGGTGGGCCTTTGTTCCCCTTTGCTGGAGGTCAGAGGTATGTCACAGTGGGTGGTTAGCCAATTCATAGCCCTTTGTCTGCCATTTCCAGGAACATTTGTCTCTCACAAAGGGAACAATGATTGACACAGCAAACAAGTTACTTGGGGGACAATGCATACAGAACAGCATGAGGACAAGGGCAGTTAATCTATAACTATGTGGTTGGTGCTTGATAGTTACTAAGGTAACGAGGACAGCACAGAATTACAATACTGCTAATAACTATCTTTTAACCGTTTTTGCTAATAACTATCTTTTTAACTTTGCATTTTAGTTTTTTAGCATTTTAGTACAACAATGG